GAGCCCAGACACCTGCTGAACCTGCCCTCGGTATGCCTGCTTTAAATCCACCTCCCTGGGGATCCCTGGGTGGCGCAGCAGTTTGGCTCCTGCCTTTGGCCCAGGGCGCAATCCTGGAGACCCGGGATCGAATCCCACGTCGGGCTCCCGATGCATGGAGCCTGCTTCTCCCTCTGCCTGTGTCTCTGCCTCTCTGTCTCTGTGACTATCATAAATTAAAATAAAAAAAAATTAAATCCACCTCCCTGAAACCATGCCTCTGCCCGGAGGCAGCCACATGCTCCTTCCTCTTTTCTCAGGCCTGTTGGAAAACTCTTTCTTTTACCTTCTGTGACCCTGGGACTTCTCCATACCTCCTGCTCAGCCTAGGCCTGTCTCCAGAGGGTTGAACCTGTGTTCATGGGTGAGATGTGGATGGTTGCTGACCTGGGCCTGCATCTCCTTCAGGAGAGCTGGGGTGTGGGGGCCGCAGAGGCTATGTGGACAGTGGGTAAGGCCTGGCAGGGGACCAGGGGTGCAGGGTGGTGACCCAGGAGCTTTGAGATCACCAGCATTCAGAACAGGCAGCCTTGGGAGGCAGGGATAAAGAACGTGGGCTCAGAGAAAGAAACACCAGCTCTGCCACCTGCCCCTTGTGTGACCCTGGGCTAGTGACTTGACCTCTCTGAGCTTTGTTTGCCAAATTGTAGAGAATCCCATCTTTCACCAAATGAATTAACTGTAGGAGATTCACCAAATAAGTATCTCAATAGATGCTAAAGAGGTATTTAATAAAATCTAACATCCATTCCTAATTTTAGAAAAATACTTTATTAAAATAGGAATAGATTTAATGCTTCCATGTGATAAAATATGTATAAATATATGACACCAAAAGCCAGCATTCTATTCTCTAGAATAGAAACATGAGATGCATTCCCATTAACTTCTGGAATGAAGTAAGGACTTCCTGTCACCACTCTTTAGTGCTGCTCTGGGGGAACTAAGCCATACAATTAGGACACATAAATAAGTGGGTAACTGTTGGAAGTGCAGAGGCCAAATTCCACTGTTTTTAGATTGTTGGAAAAGCTAAAAGTGTCAATCGAAAAAAAAAATTACTGTTTAAAAACTAAGTGCAACTATTCTAGGTGATATACTCGTCATTATGCATTTGTCCAAATCCACAGAATGTACAACAAGAGGGAAGCCTAATGGACTCTGGGTGAAAATGATGTGTCCGTGTAGGCTCATCAGTTGTAACAAATGTCCCATTCTGGTGGGGAATGTTGATAATGGGGAGTCTGTACATGTGTGGGGGCTGGGGATGTGTGGGAAATCTCTATTATCTTCTGCTCCATTTTGCTGTGAACCTAAAACTGCTCCAAAAAATAAAGGCTATTAAAATAAAAACCAGGGCAGCTCAGGTGGCTCACCGGTATAGTGTCACCTTCGGCCCAGGGTGTGATCCTGGAGACCTGGAATCGAGTCCTGCATCAGGCTTCCTGCATGAGCCTGTTTCTCCCTCTGCCTGTGTCCCTGCCTCTCTCTCTGTGTGTCTCTCATGAGTAAATAAATAAAATCTTAAAAATAAAATAAAAAAACAATTGCCTATATATAGACATAAATATATACTAATTGGTTTGAATATGTATCTGAAGAAAAGACTTGATTCCTAACAGCATCTAAGAAAAAACAGTAAAATACCAGGAAATAAATTTAGTAAGGATTGTATAAGTTCTACTTGAAGAAAAGGAGCACAAAGGGAAGATCTGAATCAAAAGACAAGCTTTATTCTTGGAGAAAAACCTAACATCATTAAAATGTCTGTTTTTTTTTTCTAAATTACTTATGCATTTAATGAAATCTGAACAGGATATTTTAAAAATTAATTAAATGATTCATCTAGAAGAGTAAACATGTGAAAATAGCTAGGAAAAATTCTGGAAAGGAAGCATTGAGGAAAGACTGACTCCATTAGCTATTAAAACATGTAATGCTTGTTATTATAATTATCTAAGTTAATTGAGCAATTAATATGTTCCAGGCTCTATTCCAAGGGTTTTGTAAAGACTTAAACCATTTAATCTTCATTCTAACACTTGAGGTAGTAGGTATTAGGGTTTTAGGAGCTCAATACATGCACCCTTTTTGCCCTACCCAGATTCAAACCCACTGAGAGAAAAACAGAGACATCAGGGACATATCCTTTTTACTGCTAGAAGCTGGATTAGGAGATTAGGCAGTGAGGCATAGGTGGTGGCAACAATAAGTTTGTTCTTTTTTTTTTTTTTAAAGCAAGCTCTATGCCCAATGTGGGGTTTGAATTCACAACCCCAAGATCAAGAGTCACATGCTCCACCAAGTGAGCCAGCCAGGTACCCCAACAACAAGCTTCTTAAAGCAGAACTCTATCAAGAGATTGAAAATGTCAGGACTGGGGAAAAATAGTTGCAAAATGCATTTCTGATAAAGAACTTGTATCCTAAATACACAAAGAACTCCTATAACTCAACAGTAAGAAAAAAAAAAGTACGAAAACAAATGAATAACCCAATTTATTTTTTTATTTTTTAAAAATATTTTATTTATTTATTCATGAGGGACAGAGAGAGAGAGGCAGAGACACAGGCAGAGGGAGAAGCAGGCTCCATGCAGGGAGCCCGACGCGGGACTTGATCCAGGGACTCCGGGATCACGCCCTGGACCAAAGGCAGACATTCATCCACTGAACCACCCAGGCACCCCAATAACCCAATTTAAAAATGGGCAAAAGATCTAAACAGAAGCCTCAGCAAAAAGGATACACAGATTGGCAAATAAGCATCAGGAAAGATGACCGAGATCATATGTGTTAGTCAATTGCAAATTAAAACAACAGTGAGATGCCACACATGACTATTAAAATCAAAACAGCCCAAATTCAAAAAAATGAAAATAAGGAAGCCCGAATGTTGGCAAGCACGTGCAACAATAGGAACTCTCATTGCTGGTGGAAACACAACAGTACAGCCGCTTTGGGAGACAGGTTGGCAGTTTCTCACAGTGAAATATAGTCTTATCATATGATCCAGCAATCACACTCCTTGGTATTCACCCATCTGATCTGAAAACTTATTTATTGTCCACACAAAAACCTGCATGTTAATGTTTGTAGCAGATTTATTCATAATTGCCCCAAATGGAAAGCACCGAAGATGTCCTTCAGTGGACAAATAGATAATGCAATGCGTAACCATACAATGGAATATTATTCAATGCTAAAAAAAAATCTATTAACTCATGAAAGGCATGGACTAACTCTGAATGCATATTGCTGAGTCAAAGAGGCCGATCTGAAAAGGCTACAGATGTATGATTCCAACTACAGGACATTCTGGCAAAGGCAACACTATAGAGACAACGCAGAGCCCAGTGGTTGCCTGGAGTCTGGGGGAGTGGGAAGGAGGATGAATATGTGGAGTAGGGTGGGTTTTTAGGACAGTGTCCTGTATGACACTGTAATGGTGGATACAGGACATTATGCATTTATCCAAACCCACAGAACTGTGCACCACAGACTGTGGACCCTAATGTAAATTGTGGACTTTATTTATTTTTTAAAAAATATTTTATTTACTTATTTGACAGAGAGAGAGGGAGCACAGGCAGGGGAGGTTCAGAGGGAGAGGGAGAGGCAGACTCCTCACTGAGCAAGGAACCCCATGTGGAGCTGGATCCCAGGACCCTGGGATGGTGACCTGAGTAGAAGGTGGATGCTTCACCGACTGAGCCACCCAGGTGCCCCGATTATGGCCTTTAGTTAATAGCCGTGTATCGGTCGGTATTGGTTCATCCATTATAACAAATGTATCACCCCAATGTAAAATGTTAATAATAGGGGAGCAACGAAAAAAAATAGGGGAGCAATGGGCAAGGAAGGGGGGTATATGGGGAATTCTACTATCTACTGAATTTTTTGTAAATCTGCTCCAAAAATATACAGTCTATTAACTAAAAAAGAAGAAAAAAAGGAAAACGAACCCAGAGAGGGACAGACTTTTCCCCAGCACAAGCAGCTGGAAAAGCCATGGATTCCCCCATATAGCTGTGGGAGGAGCTCTCTGGGGATCCGGGGCGTGTGTGTGTGTGTGTGTGCGCGCGCGCGCAGAGGGGTGGGTACCGGTGGTGTGTCCAGTTTCTCATCCTAACTCACCAATCACCTGGGCCTCTCTTCTTCTCTGGAGCCAGAGATCTAAGTGTTGGGGAAAATACCTTCCAGGTGAGGAGGATTCAGAACACGTTACCCCAAGATATTCCGCTTTGGCATATTGGTTATTTTGAGCTGAAGGCACCTGAGAAGCAGAGGTTGCAGCAAGGGCTCTCTGCCTTCTCCCTTTCTGCCTACAAGCTGGCCATAACATTCCCTACACTTGATCTTAGCCAAAAGGCTAAGCGATGCCATAATATTTCCTAAGAGAAGGACGCCCTCTGTACCTTTCTTGTCACCAGAGACCGGGGTGATGCCAAATCAGATGTGTACAAACAAATCTGCTAAAACAATCCATCTCTTCCAAGAGTTTCCCGAATACTCCCTAGTCACCGTTCCATGAACTCTCTGCCCCAGCCACACCCCTTTGTCTTGACACATCCCTACAAGGTACCTCATTCTTTATGCAAAAAAAGGTATATAGGCTTTGGGGCCCAATGGGTTTTTTGGATTTTCATTTTTCTTCTAAAGATTCCTATGCACACATAGAAATATGCCATAAATCTATATGCTTCTCTCCTGTTAACCTGTCTCATGTCAGCTAATTCTCAGGCCAGCCTCAGAACCAGGAGAGTACACGAAGTTGGTAGCAAGTTTCCCCTATGCAGGGAAAAAAAAGGGGAGCCAGGGAACGGCAGAGGCTTCCAACCCCACAAAAAGTTCTCTTACTGTCCCTATATGGGGAAAACTGGTTCTGTCCAATGCAGAACAGACACCAGTGGAGCATTTGAGAGTCCGCGACAAAGGTGGCATTTCTTTTCTTTTCTTTTTTAAAGATTTAATTTATTTATTAGAGATATATAGAGAGAGGCAGAGGGAGAAGCAGGCTCCATGCAGGGAGCCTGACATGGTACTCATCCCAGGTCTCCAGGATCATGCCCTGGGCTGAAGGTGGCGCTAAATTGCTGAGCCACCTGGGCTGCCCAAAGATGGCTTTCAAATGAGGAAGGGAGAATTGAATTACTCAGGAAGTAGGGTTGGGAGAGCCTGCTGAGAATCACCCCCAGCCTGTCATTGGACCTAAAAGTCCTCCATCACAGCCACTCACACTGGGTTCTGGAGAGGTCACACCAGCCCTTTATCAACCCTCCCCTTACAGCGGTGCTAGCTTATCCCACCTTTGCTACCCCAGGGCTTGGCCAGGGAGGGGCCTGGCTCAGAAGGTGGGGATCACCTTGGGATTCTGGGAAGCAGAGGAATAGACCTCTGCCCTGCAGCTGACCTGAGCAGCAAGTGGGATTTGGGAGGAAAGGCCTGAAGGTCCATGGCCCTCAGTCTTGGATGATGGGGACCGGCACCGGCAAACCTGGTCCTGAACCCGGTGGAGTGAGCAAAGGGTGAACCACACAGACAGTGTCTGCGTGTGCGCACAATGCCCGTGTAGGTGAGTGCGCGTGTTGTGCACACATGTGAGTGGCGTGTCTGCAGGTGTGTGGTGGGCTGAGTGTGTGCCCTCGGCACGTGCGTGTGTGTCCACGGTGTGCGCGGGCTCTCTGGCGTGGGGGCGGTGATCCGGGAAGGAAAGGTCCGCTTGCTCGGGGGTGGGTTCGGATCTGCCAGAGGACGAGGGCTCCGGGGACGGCTCCCTCCCTTCGCCCCCGGGTGGTCCTGGGGGAGGCGCATGCTCTTCACAGACTCCCCACCGGTCCTCCCAGGCCGCGAGGAAGCTGGCGGGGGTGGGGCGGGGGGAGCAGGGCCAGGGACCCCCGGCCTGGAGTTCTGGGGAGGCCGCCCCGCCTGAGGTCAGCTGTGGGGGCGCGCAGAGCCGCGGTACGCACCTGCGGGCACTCCCCGGCCACCAGGGGGCGCCCCGGGCCAGGGCCAGGCTCCTGCGCCGCGTGCCGGCCGGCGGTCCCGTCCATCCCAGTAGCAACCTTGGGGGGCCGCGGGTGTCTGCATGTGTGTATCTGCGTGTGCATCTCCGCTGTGTGTGTGTGTTCATGTGCGCGCATCTCCGCTGGGTGCGTGTGCGGGTGTCCGCCGCTCCAGGAGACGTCCCCGGTCCCTCTACAGGCCCCGGGGCGGAGAGGAGAGGCCGCGGCCCCGAGGGCGCGGGGGAAGCCGGAGGACGGAGCTGCGCTCTGCCGGGGCAGGGCTGGACGGCCCGGGGGGACGGGGGGGGGGCTGCGCGGGGAGGCCTGGGAGGACGAGGAGGGGTTCGGTGGGTGGAGAGTGTTCCCGCGGCGAGCGCGCGGCTCCGACAAGCAGCCGGAGGTGGGAGAGCGGGCGGGCCGCCCTGCGGAGAGCAGCGCGCCCAGCCGGCGCCCTCAGACCCCCCACCCCACCCCGGGAGGCTGCGGGGCGCCCTCTGGAGCCTCGGGCCGCCTTGTCCCCCGCGCAGCCTCCAGGGGGCAGCACGCGGCAGCCAGCGCTCCCGGTGAAATTCCCCTCCGTCCGGCCCAGCTCCTTCCCGGGCCATCCCCTCCTCGGGCTTACACCCCGCCGCACCCCGCACTTCTAGCCCTGCTCCCTAGTTCTCCAGCGCCCCGGGGCCTCCAGGCCTGGGTGGGACGAAGCGCAGGAACCGAGGCCAGCAGGCATCCGCGGGTAGGGGCGCAGGTCCCATCCCCGAGGCGTCCCCACCTGATGGGTTCAAGGAGGTCCTGATGGTCAGTGCTCAGGACGGAGCCGGACACAAAGAAGGTGCTTAATAAACGCTAGTGCTTTGTAATAGCTGTCTCCCCCCAGACCTCCCAGAGGTGCCAGTGAACTCCTCCAAATTTCACACTCTGGAACTTTCTCCTCTTTCCACCTACCTTCTTCCAAAACAGACTGTGCTTCCTCCAGGGCACGCCCCATCTCCTTCTGTCTGGTGGGGCACAGGTTCCGAGCTGAGGGAGAGGGGGTTGGGGAGCGCCTGAACCAACCTTTCCCAGGGCACTTCCTGCTGGGCCTGAGCAGAGCAGATGCAGCTGGAGCAAGCAGCTCCAGGTGGCCCGTCCTCCTGGGCAGTGGTGATGCGGGCCACCTGGACCCGCTTGGAAATCCTGCAGAATTCCAAAGAAGGGAACGTTACCCAGGGCAGAGGCGAGGCCTGGACCAGAGGGGTCTGGGCCTGCCTGGGCCTGGCTTTGACACTGACTTTGACCTTGAGCCCATGACTTAGCTCCCCGAGCCTGTTTCCTAGTCTATAAAACGAGAATAATTATACCCATTCTGTGTCTGGCAAGCTTTTTAATGCCTCGGAGCTTCAATGTTCTCATCTGTAAAATGGAACTAATTATAGCCTTTCCTGTCTGCCTCACAGGTTTGCAATTAAATCCATCCATCCATCTGTCAAATAATAAGGCAAGGAGGGTACTTGCCTTATGCTATATGTGGCACTATGCACACACCCTTACGCATTCATGCCTCTCCACCAGTCCGGGAGGTAGACGACTGTATTACGACCATTCCACAGATGAAAAGACAGGCCACTGACTCACTTCCCCAGCATCACGCGGCTGAGTGGGATCCAAACTGGGCAGTCTGGCCCGGCAGGCATCTCTCTGGACACAATCCACCGCATCAGGGGCTGCTTGTTGTACGGTAGCCCACCATATATAGTGGTTGAGTGAATGACACTGCAAAAGTGCCCTTTGGAGATAGGGGTCTGGCCCAGCTGTTCTGGCTCACTTAAGTCAGACTCGGGTCTGGGGTCCACACCCCAGCCTGCTTATTGACACAGATGAGCATTGTGGGTTTTTGCACTGTAACAAGCAAAGGATGGGATTTGCCACATATTTTCATCCCCGTCTGAGATCTGGGATTTTATGGGTCCCTTGGGTAGTCACAGGGTGGGATCTTTGGAAGAAAGCTCAGGACTCCTTGGAGTGGCTGAAGGAGCATGAGTTCTATCCTCAGAGAGATAGGAGTTCAAATCTTGACTGTGTGACCACCTCTCTGAGGCCTCAGTAGTCTCATCTCTAAAATGAGAGTCTTTCTTATAACTTAGCAAGGTGGTTCTGTGACTTAAACAAGAAAATTAGGTGAGAAATCCTGCAAAGTGAACAGGAACCATGACCCAGACCATTTTCTCAGGGGAACCATGCTTTGGCTATTGAGGCAGGGCCAGGAAAAAAAAATCAGCTTTGCCTGGGAATATCTTCTTGGTAGCTTCCTGTCATCTCAGCTGCCTGCGGACCTGGCCTGCTTGTCAGTGGGGTCACTTGCTCTGCTTAATTAGGCTTTTCGTGGAAACAGATTGTTTGCAGGTAAAGAACTTGTCAAATCTGACACAGGATGCTAGCAGGACAGAGGTCCCACACCACATTTGTTCAAAGATTCATGCAGGGGATCCCTGGGTGGCTCAGCGGTTTAGCGCCTGCCTTTGGCCCAGGGCGCGATCCTGGAGTCCCGGGATCGAGTCCTATGTTGGGCTCCCGGCATGGAGCCTGCTTCTCCCTCCTCCTGTGTCTCTGCCTCTCTCTCTCTCTCTCTCTCTCTCTCTATGTCTCATAAATAAATAAATCTTTAAAAAAAAAAGATTCATGCAGATAAGCACCGTGCCAAGCTCTGTCCTGGGCACACAGACAGCTAAGGTTTTTGTTTTTGTGTTTTGTGTTTTTTTTTAACACAAAAAAGAGATTACTTTTATTACAAAAGAAACCAACCCCATGGTTAAAAAAAAATGAAACCACATTATAGTTTACATGTTTGAAACTAACAAGTCCTGGCTCTGGTCCATTTCCTCTTAATTCTGCTCAAAACCTGAACAGTTGCTTTCTGAACTGCTCAATCCTCTTGTATTTTATGACAGGCGGCTGCAAGAGGACAGCTGGCATTTTCAACATTCTGCTCAGACAGCCCTTTCACCAGATCTGCACATTCCTTACACACCTTTTCTATATTCTACGTCAGCACAGGTAACAGTTGGGCTAAGTATTGTGGCATAAAGACTAACGGTAAAGCCAATGTCGTGTCCCCAGTTAACTTCGGGTGAAATCAGAAGATCCTTAGGGGACCCTGGGTGGCTCAGTTGGTTAAGCGGCTGCCTTCAGCTCAGGTCATGATCCCAGGGTCCTGGGGTTGAGCTCCTGCTCGGAGGGGAGTCTGCTTCTCTCTCTCCCCCTGCCTCTCTGCTCATGCTCTCTCTCTCTCAAATAAATAAACAAACAAACTAACTAACTAACTAAAAGAAAGAAAGAAAAAGAAGAACCTCAAATGGCTGAATGGCAAGCGCCCTAACCCCACCTCCCAACCCCGCCCCTGCGGATGGATAAGGCCCCCAGCTAAACAATCCTCCTTATCACGCATGGACCCGGTACGAATTCCCACTTATTCCTGGCTGGGGTGGATTTTGGTTCTCTGGCAGCTGTCGAGTTACCCAGACAAGCCCATTGCATCCTCCCAGGGAACCAGGGGCACCCTGCCCTCTAGATACTACGAAGCCTGCCTCGCGCCGCCCCTGGTTGTTCACGCTGTCCCCGAGTGGCCCTGCATGGCCCGTGATGACTCATATGCCACCGTCCATCTCATGTATCCGGTGTTGGGTGTCATGTTTCCAGCCATTCCCAGAATCCCCCCTGCCTCACCAACGAGACGCCCAGGAGAACGTGAAAACCAGTGTCTGCTGTTAGCTAACTCGGGTTACAGACCGGGGTCCTATTGTCATCAGCCTTCTCCGTGTTCTTCCAGGTTTGACAAACTGTGTCCTCCGGCCCTTCCTACCCTCTGCTCTGCAGACCAATGCCTCACGTTTAAGATGTTTGTGTCAACAGCATCCTACTTCTGCACATCAGATGGCCCTCTGGTCATTCATTGGTGCATGACAAACCATCCTCAAATTTAGTAGATGATTGGAGCAAAGATCATCTCTTTGCTCACAAATAGCTTGCGATGTTGTGGGGTCAGCAGGATCACGTCTCAGCTCCCCTTGGCCTCAACTGGGAGAGCCGACCGCCTGGACAATCCACTTCCCTGGTGGTTCCCTCCAACACCTACCGCATGTGGGCCTGTCCCTGCAGCTGCCTGGGCTTCCTCACAGGGTGGCGGCATGGCATCTGGGCTCCGAGAGGGAGGACGCGGAAGCTGCCTGTTCTCCTCAGGGCCAGGCCCAGAGCCACACACCCTTACTCCTGCCAGTGAGCCAGGCCCAGCCCAGACTCAAGGAGTTAGATAGGACCTTGATAGGACAAGTGGCATGTGTGCCCTGAGAGGGGAGAGACTCTTCAGAGCCATCTTTGGAGACCAGCTACCACACCCCTGCTTTTACATAGGAGGGCAGTGAGACTCTGTGGTGGGTTTGAGGACTGAAGGGGCGAGTGACAATGAAATTCCTTGAAATTCCAGTGAAATTCAAGCTTTTCCTATGTGCCCAGTCCTGTTCCAGATGCCCCCATGCGCAATGTCACCACAGATCTATGAAGCAGGAACTATTGTTATCCCATTTTACAGATGAGGAAACAGAGTCCCTAGCAAGTAAATAACTTGCCCAAATCCAGACAGCTTATAGGATGAGGGCCCAGCGTCACACCTGAGCAGTCAAATCAGAGTCAAGCTCCAGAGCCCATCCAAAAAACACTATATTTTTATCTTGGGACACGGTTTTGGCATTAACAATAAAGTGGAACTGTGCCCAAGATGTTAGCAAGTTCTAAATAAAACCAATTTTGACATTCCTCATGCTTTAGTATGATACATTCTGGAAAATTTTGCCATAGAATGGTCTGTATTTTCCCATGGGTACCCACTGTGGCAGAAATGACCAGTTTCTCCCAAATAACTGTTTTTCTGTCTTATATAGCAATAGATTTTTTTGGTTGGGCACCTGGCACCCCATCTAACCGCTTTTCCCAGCTCCCCTTGCAAGTAAGGGGAGTGAGGTCTAGCCAGTGGGATGAGAGCAGAAGTGATGGGAAGTTGAGACTGGGCTGAGCATGGGTGCAATGGCAGGAGCTGGAGTAGTTGCTTTGGACCATGAGATGAAAGCTGAGTGTGGAGGGACAGGGACAGAGCAGGGTAGCAGGAGCCTGGGTGTTTGGGTGACTTTGAGGAGCAGCTAAATCCTTGAGCCTTGACTGCCCACCTTTGGCTTCTTACCTGAGAGAGAAATAAAATTCTACCTTCTTTAAGCCATTGTTCATTTCGGTGTTTTTGTTTCTGCCTCTGGAATTGTATCATAACTTGCAGGCTGTCTTCAAACAGAAAGGTAAGTATGTGTCTCGAGATGTGTAGCAGCTGGGCCTGCAGCTCTCTGGCCCCTTGGGGTCCTGAAATCCTGTGGCTTTGTGATGGGATGAGGATTTCGAGTAGTTTCTAGGCTCTGGACTGGATGCTAACCTTTTCCTCCTTTTCATCATGTGAACTATTTTCCCTCCACCTTTGGCCTTGTGCAATTTGAATGCAGGGTTGGACTACCTTTAAAGCCCAGTGGAGGGGCACCTGGACATCTGCCTTCGGCTCAGGTCATGATCCTGGGGTCCTGGGATTGAGTCCTGCGTCGGGCTCCCTGCGAGGAGCCTGCCTCTCCCTCTGCCTGTGTCTCTGCCTCTCTCTCTCTGTCTCTCATGAATAAATAAATAAAATCTTAAAAAAAAAAAAAAGCCCAATGGAAAGTAAGAAGCTGTTTAAGATGAATTTTCCTTTCAGTCTCTTTGGAAAGTTGGGACAGTTTATGATCATTTTGCAACGTCTGGGAATCATTTTGTGAAATGCTGTATGTGTTTTCCTTGTATTCTGATAAAAATTTAAAGAAAAAGCTTTGTTTCCCCATCGTGCTAGATGTGGAGTTTCCTGGTGAAGAAATGTTCAGTTGATTTGGCCTCTCTGGGCATGTGGGGACTTCCCTGGGATGGGGAACAGGATGGGGAAGCTCAGAAGTCGGGG